TTTAAAGTGAACAGTAATCATATACCACTTATCTCACTGATAAAAAACATGGGACTGCCACAGTCAGCCTGGACAGAAGCCAAAGCAAACTCAAGCAGAACTGAGAATTTGAATTGAGATGACTGTCACAAGTGATGGTTGTTCATTCAAATCAAGAAAAATTGATTTGTTTCAAATCTCAGTGGGGACCTCTTCATTATAATGTGCATGATGAACCACTACTAAATATGCATGGCATGGATATCTAGTTGATTTTAGAAAAGTTCTGGTTCCTCACCTCCCCCGTCCCCCAGAAAAAAAAGAAAAAGAGATGTAGGCTTGTTTCCCTGCAATGCACACTTCCATCACTTTATCCAGGCTAATTTCAAGCAAAACACCAATGGACCTTTTACTCCAAACTCTTTATGCAGTGCTAAAGCTCACTGACTCTCAGTTCTACTTATGGCTGTTCCAGCTGTTGCCCTCCTATCTGCATTCTCAAGCACTAGCAGCTTTTTAGCCTGCTCTCTTTGCTTATCATTGCAAAAGTAGCAAGTTGGTTTAGTGAGGACAACTGTGTCTGCTGAGGCCCCTTGTCATCTCTGCTGCAGATACCTAGGATGAGCCATTCATGGCTCAGCTTTTCACAGTCCTCAGCATTCTGCCTCTTCTCTCAGGACTACGATAGACCTGAGACGCACATAAATCCCCTGGTCGGGGACCTCTGGATGAAATAAGTTATCCAAATGCAAGGCATAAATTGCATTATATGCCTGTCCTTGCTATCTTTCTGTCTGAATCCTCGATAATGTTTAATTGTCTCTCTTCTGAACTCCAGCCTCATCGATCCCGCTCTGATAACGAGGTCTATGAAGTCCATCCTGAGCAAACACACTGATAGCATTTCCATCAGCACTCAGCAGTGAGGCCAAGGGTGATGTTTTCACTTGTGGAAAACTTGCAGATTTTCTAACAAAACACTAAGGAATCCAAGACTCAGTACATACGCAGCCCAAAACGACACTGGCCTGCCCCTAACTCCTCGCTCGGTGATAAAACTACTCAGCAAATTTAAAACTCTTAAAACATGAACAAACAACCCATTTGTTTACTTAGTTCTCCTAACAGGGTTATTCTGAAACAAAGCTTCCTATGCCACGACCTTGTTCTTATTTTCTGACTGATAAGAGCACAAGAACTTTAGAGAGGTCAGGTGAGGAAAAGAAGCAGCTGATCAGGGAGGTGGTACCACGCTGGCAATGCCCAAATTCTCCAGCTTCATCTTCCCTCCTGTGCTGGCCACATCTCAGGCAGGAAGAAAGGAACTCTCTTCCATGCAGGGTACTGCTCGCCTTCCAGCCTGGCCCTTGTGTTGGCATTCCCAGTGTTCTGCTTCATCTCCTCTTGCATCTGAAGTTGCAGAGGCTGTTATTTATTTTTAAACTACCAGGTTGAGTCTTAATTATTTAAGCATCTTCCAGATATAGAAAGCTGTTTTGGCTGTGAAAGTAACACTCAGTGCAATCATATCACATCAATAAACCATGGAAATAAATGTGTACACCTGTTGGGAAGCAACTTTATTTAAAGCTCATTTAAAAGTCCAGGTCAGATTTACAGATGTGAAAAGACCCAACGTTGTTCACATTTCAATAAGCACATGGCATTTTAGCTCAAGTGAGAAAAAAAAAAAATGGGACTTGCACCTCATCCCACTGACTTTGTTAGGAGCAAGATGGCTTTATTTCCCCTGAAACCAGAAGGAACACCTCTGTGGCACCCAAAATGAAAGCCTTGGCAAGAGGCCTTCCGACAGGTGTACTCACTTCAGAGTTGTGCTAGCTTTCATTTTAATTCTGAAGTGCTAAAACTTAATAGGTAAGGACAGCTGTGAATGCTCATGCCTTATTGCAAACTGTTACAAAGGCTCACATCACACATGCAAAGATCATACAGGGGCTCTGTTTCTTCAGAGAGAAAGGGAAATGGGAAACTTGGGTTTCAAAAGCAAAACCTGTACATTCTTAGTAACTAGGATCAAGAAATAAGGTAACACAACATTACGGTGTGGCCACAATGTCCAGTTTGGAGAAATAATTTTTTTATGTCCAATCTTAGGTAGGGTTTTTTTTTTTTTCTGCTCACACTGGGCAAACAAACAATTAAAACGTTACCTGATAGTATCACCCTAGGGAATTGCTTGCACATTGGAGTCAAACCAGGCCAGCCCTACACGCAACATGCTGCACAGGCTAAATGGCCATAGACATAGGACCGGTGAATTACTACAGAAGAAGAGCTACTGGCTGGCAAGGTTAGCTATCATTTGCATTGATAGCTTCATCTGTACAGCCTTTTCTTACAGTCAGAGGGAAAAAAAGATCCTTACTCATCCAGCTCTCTAAAATTGCTGACTGTGCAATTCAGTGCTGCCTTTGAGCACTAATCTTCGATCTTGAGTACAGCTCAAGAAAATGCTGCTCTATTCCTCTCCTTAGTGAAGCAAAGCTGCATTTTATTTATGTAACATTTTCACTAAACTAGCAAAGAGGTGGAGCAAAGTCAAAGAAAAAAAAAAAAAAAGGAAAAAAAAGACAAGGAAAAAGCCATCTCTCTTCCAGCATGAGAGAGTATGAACAGCAGCCTGACTGGAAAAGAAATGGGCTGCTGACTAAACTCTGGCCACAGTGACCCCAGGCTCCCCGCGGTTGCCTGGTATGGGTTGTCAGCAGCCAGTGGAAGTAGGAACAGTCTGGGGTAGGTTCTTCACTGAATGTGCCGCATGTTGGAGAGAAGCCAACGAGAATGTGTTAGGATTCCTTCCTCAAACATTTGACACAATCAGGACAGGCTTAGAATATATATCTACATTACACAGCAGAGTCAGGGTTTTATTATAGAATCAAGATAAGATCTCGCCTTATTTACCACACACACCGCTTCCATTCAAATACATTATTATGTTGCAAAGCCTTTTATTCCAAACATAGCGAACAGATCAACAGAACCTACCTGCAACCTTTAATTTAGGCTTGTGGCTCACCTCATTATGGCAGTCTTTAATTACATTATCCCATATTGTTTTTCACTGGGATGGAAAATGCTCACTTAATCAGCAGCCTCTCAATATTTTGTTTAATCCTCAGGAGTCAGTGTGGAGGCTCAACTTGTTGGGCACAGCTGGAAGCAGCTGGACTTCCTGCTGGGCTCCCTATGGGCTCTCTGCATTGAGTGCCAAGTGCTGCCATCCCACTCTATGCCCTTGAAGTCAACCTGACACCACAAAACCATAGAATAATTGAATCATTAAGGATGGATAAGACCTTTAAGATCATTTAGTCCAGCCATCAATCCAGCACAGCCATCCCCACCATGCACACTATGTCCCTCAGTGCCACATCAACACATTTCTTGAACACCTCCAGGGACGGTGACTCCAGCACCACCCCAGGCAGCCCATTCCAGTGCCTCACTGCCCTTTCTGAGAAGAAATTTTTCCTAATATCCAACCTGAACCTCCTCTGGTGCCACTCAAGGCCATTCCATCTCATCCTATCGCTGTTACCAGGGATGAGAAGCTGGCCCCGCTCCTCACCATAACCTCCTTTCAGGTAGTTGTAGAGAGCAATAAGGTTTCCCCTGAGCCTCCTCTGCTCCGGACTAAACAACCCAGTTCCCTCAGCTGCTCCCCATAAGACTTGTGCTCCAGACCCTGCACAGCCTTGTTGTCCTTTGGACACGCTCCAGGGCCTCCATGTCCTTCTTGTGGTGAGGGGCCCACAGCTGAACACAGCACTCGAGGTGCAGCCTCCTGAGTGCTGAACACAGAGGGATGGTCACCTCCCTGCTGGCAACACCACTGCTGACACACACCAGGATGCCATTGGCCTTCTTGGCCACCTGGGCACACTGCTGGCTTACGTTCAGCCCACTGTTCCCTAAATCCTTTGCCTCTGCGCAGCCTGCCACGCCACACTGGGGCCATTCTGCCCCAATCCTGTATGAATTCATGGGGTCCTTGTGATCACCAACCCACTGCACACCCACGAGGCCAACCCAGGCACCCTCAAAATGGCGGCACGACCGCTCCCAAAACTTGCACCACAGCCAAGGCCTCCTCCGGCCATGATGTCACACCGCGCCCCCTCCCGCCCCCCACTCCGCCACCCTTCGCACCATCGTTACGTCACGATCAGCCCATGGGGGGAGGGACCGGGGAAGGACGCGGGGCGGTGGAGCCCCACCGCTCCGCCCCCGCCTCCGCCCCCGTCGTCCCGCAGCGTGCCAGAGCCGGCCGGTGCCGCCGCCGCCCGCAGCCTGCCGCGCCGTCAGGTAGGGCCGCCGGGCTGTGGTGCGGTCGTGCGTGCCCGGGAGGAAGAGGTGCCGGAAGGGCGTGGGGTGGTCGGTGTGGCGGCGGCTGGGCTGGGGGCGGCAGCCGTGCGGGGGGCTGCGGGCGGCGGGGGCTGAACCGGGTTTTTTCCCCCCAAATCGCTTTCCGAAGAGCATGATGCAATCCGGCATTGCCATGGCTACTGCAGCTTCGCGAGCCCCCCTTCCCGCTCCGCGGTGGGGAAGCGGGTCCTTGCGTGCTGTGCGGGGAGGGTGAAAAAAAAAAAAAAGAATTAAAGAACAAAACAAAACGTGGAATCAAAAGCGTTGGCGGCGGAGCTATAACGGGAACGGCGGGGCCGCGGGGGCGGCGTCCGCGCTTCGTGCCCCGCGGAAGTGGATCGGAGCATCCCGAGCCCCGCGCGGCTCGGGGGCGCTGCCGGGCCGCTGGGGGGGGGCGGCGGGTGGGGCGGCGCGACGGGACGGGAACGGGATGCGGCCACGTGCCGTGGGCTCTGCCGAAAACTTCCCCGCGTCGCCGCCGTGCCGCCGCGCTCCGTCTCGACAGCGTGCCGCGTGGGGCCGTGGGGGGCGGGGGGTGCCTCCGGGGATCTCCCCGTCCGCAGACAAAGGCGGCTCTGCGGGGCCGAGCTCTCCCGCCGGGCACCGCTGCTTGCTCGGCACGACGGGCTCCGGCCGGATGCAGAAGACGGACTGATGTACCGCTCCGGCTGCGGGAGGCTGGAGGTGCCGGCGGTGCCCCGGCGGCGTATCGGGCACCTCTGTGGAAAACGCAGGCGGAGAGCTCGGCCCGGCCGCCGGGGATGGTGAGGAGGTAAAAACAACACGAGAAAAAGGCGCGGGTGCTGTTGTATTTAGGATGCTTCCGAACAGGAAGTCTCGAAACCGCTCCGTGCAAACGACACACGCCCTGCAGCTGGAGCCAGGCGAGGGGGAGCTCGGGCTGCTCGGCTGGGCACGGCCATTCGCCCGAGTCCGCTCCCAGGGTAAGGCAGCGCCCGACCTGCCGCCGGCCCTGCGACGGAGGCTTTGCCGCCGGGAAGCAGCGCGGATTCGTGTTGCAGGCAGAGAGAAAGGGGGTTTGTTTGTTTTTAATGCCAAGTCATGAATAGCACCGGAGGGTTTGGTGATCTAACGTAGGCATTCCAGCCTAAGCCTGCCTCGTTCCTTTGCCTGAGGGTTTGTTGGAAGGGTTCACGGCTCGTGCTGGGTGCTGGTGTGCCCTCGCTGCCAGGAGCAGCAGCACAAACAGCACCAGGGCTGTAAGCCTGCAGCGCACAGCGTTATGTACTGCTATTCAGGAAGGAAGGCCAGAGCTTCTTCTAAAGCGTGTGTGTATCTGGGCTGCAGTAGTCATAATCTATTGCTGGAGCAGCAGATAACCAAAGCATGTTCCAGAATGGGACCATTTTGCTGGCTGGGGTGTCTGTTGGCAGGCACGGATGAAGGGTTTCCCTTGAAACTTGCATGCCTGTGGATGGCTGGGCTTGGCGTGCTGGAAATGCCTGCCAGCTTTCTGCACGTGTCAAAGAAAGCTCTGCACCAAGGTTAGTAATGGGTTTGCCACATCAAAGATGCCAACCAACAAAGCTCATGGGTCCAGGACGCTGTAAAACATGCCAGAATTTGGGATCTTGTGCTGGATTTCTTGCACAAGTAATGCGTGCTGGAAGCACTTCGGGGTTTCTTTGTGTGTTTTTTTGTCCATAATAAGCAAAGGAAATGGTAAGTGGACTAAGCTAGGGGGCATGGTATTGGAGACGTGGTTTAGTGGGTACAGTGGTGATGAATTGATGGTTGGACTACATGGTCCTAGAAGTCTTTTCCAGCCTTAATAATTCTATGTATATGTATATTATACTCAGTATTTTAGCATTCAGAAGCAATCAGAGAGCAGTCATGAAGTTAATGGGTCACAGAGCTTTGTCTTGGAAGTTCAGGATGAGTTGCTCTGTTTGTTCCACTGTGGTCATACTCATTTAAAAAGCAGTCACACTTTGTGTAGTTTGGTTTACTTTCTGTATCAGCAGTTGATTTCTTAGAATGAAACTCACGTGTATCTGTAACATAAATAGAGCATCGTTAGGGGTATTCAGCTGATGTGCTGTCTGACTGACCTTTAGGTATACTTAGTGCAGTATTTCAGTAAGCTGTTGTCTTCACGTTTCTCAGGAAGAATTCCTCACTGCATTCCTTGCCCATAGAACAGTCAGAGCTGAAATTAAATATTTTGAATTCTCTCATCTTATCTGTTCTTTCCACATTGACCTTCATTTTATGTTGATTGCAAGAGGCATTAAATTGGAGAAAATACAGTTAACAGAGCAACAACAGAAAAATCTATCTGTCTGTTGGAAAGAATACTGTGAGTTTGGCAGGCTCCTGTACAGGAACTTCAATTGCTCATTCTTGTGCAGCTTTTTGGAAAGACTTTTGAAGGTTCTGATTTTTGGACACAGATCTGACCATTGTAGGTTTCCAAACTGCTGTGGTGTTCCTGTTTGAGTTGTCACACGTGGGAAGCCCAGCACTGAGCTGTCGGTGAGCACGTTCTTTGTAAGTGCTGTTCTGCTGGTAACTGGTTAATTGCTTTCACACAGCAAACAGATCTCATTCCTTTACCTTCCTCATTTTTGGGCCACAGACGTTGCAACACGAAACACTTCTGTGGCTGTAGAGCTCAAAATATCCACCAGGGTACAGCAACATGGCATTGCTCAAATACAAGAGTGATTTGCAAGGCCAAAACAATTCCTGCCCTTGCTGTCTCCTACCTGTCTTCTACTGGTCTCAGCACTACTTGAAGGAGTGAGTCTCTAGAGCAGTGACTGTGCAGGAGAGCAGCTGGGAGGCATTCCAGCTGTCATTATTGCTGTCAGCTTGCTGCCTGGTCAGAGGTACCTGCCTCTGAGGGAAGAAGCCAAGCTGCTCTTGTCTTATGCAGAGTTGTCTGCTCAAGTGGGCAGCGCTGGAGAGGCTCCCTCAAACCTGCCTGTTGTTTCACTGCTGACGAGTAGAAGCACATGGAATCGTAGATGGTGTGGGTCAGAAGAGACCTTAAAGACAGTCCCTTTCCAACACACTTGCTGTGGGCAGGGTTGCCACCCACTAATCAGGCTGCCCAGGCTCTATCCAGCCTGCATTGAACACCTCCAGGGAATACTTCTGCAAATGGTGTGCTATCCTGAGATGTTTCACAGACTGTTTCCTTTTCAAAGCTCCTGAATTCCATTAGAGATTTGCCAGTTCTTTGTATAGGTCACGAAGACACCTATTTATTCTGATGCTTTTTGCAGTAAGCTTCCCTGAGCAACCAGTCAATTTGCTCATTTTGTCTTCTCAATCTGTCCTCCTTCATTGCTGTATCTAGAATTGGCCTGATACATGTGAGTGCTTTTGAGGCTGTTGGCCTCAGCTCCAGCAGAAACATTCTCCTGCTTTTACAATGTACCAAATTATATCCTTCCAGGACATAACATATGCTTCTGAAAGCTGTATAATAGACTTCAGAAATTGATGCTTACTGTGTGCCACTCAGACTCCAAAACATTTCACAAAACTGACAACAATCCTTGTAATCTGTAGCTGTTTTGTCATGTACAGTGTAGTCTCTAATTGGTTTTGTGATTCCTAAGTGCATTAACAGCCCACAGATTCCTGCACTTCAAAGGATTTATGCATGGTAGCATCAGAAACAGTTTTTCCCTTAGAGATTGCATACATTTGTCCACACCCAGACAAATCGAGAGAGTAAGTAAGGAACTCTGTAGAATTTAGGCTGTTTGAAATCTTGCTTCCAGATCAGTTGCTTTTCTTTGTTCAAACAAATTATCAAATCACACAAATGCTGCCTTGAATCTTGCTGCCAACGTACCTCATAGTTGCAGTGGACCGTATGCAGTGGCTCTGTTGAAATTGATCTTATTTCCTCAAATGTACTGCCATGGTTTTTCTGTTTGTATTTTGGTGTTTGGGACGCGTTATTGTACAGGGTAAATAAGAGCACAGGAACAAACTTGCCCAAAGTATGTGACCTGTGAATGCTCCCCCAGTGCGGTCAGCATGCTGAAGAATTATTTCATTTCCTCGCTGAGATGGTTGACTCACACAAAGCACCAAGCGCTGAGGAAGCACGATGGCAGTTCAGCAGATTCCCTTACCAGGTGCACAGCTCTGCAGATGTGTGCTGCTCCGTGGAGCTGTCACTTCTCCAAGAACAAATGAATCATGCTACTAATGCTGAACTCACTGTTGTAAACTAGGGTCGGGTCTCAACATCCCAGTGCATCGGGATATTTTGCATGCCTGTGTTAAAGCATTATTGGCTACATAGGTTATGCTTTGCTGATTCCATCCTAATGGTGTCTGTGAATTTACACTGTCATTTACACAGAGCAACTGTCCTTGTTCTGCTACCTCTTCCAGGTGCTCCCCTCTCCCCCTGGTGACCTTGGCAAAACCGTTACTCTTCTTGCCAGCTGTATTTGCATTGACTGGAGGATAACTGCTTCCTTCCCCTTGCAAATCGAGGCTCTCTGCTGTGAAAGAAATGCCATAGGCTTGAGTTCAAATAGCACACGAGTGTTCAGGGAAGCTGATAGATGTTTCTGTTGGTGTCATGACATTAGGGATGTTACCAGTAATAGACCAAAACTAACAGGTTTTGAGTTGCACAATATGGTGTTTAAGCTTATTAGACTAAAAAACACATCATGGTATCCTATGGCTTTAGGCCACATGTATAACTACTTAGTTCATAAACATTCAAATTTGCAGGTGCCTTATTTCCCAATGCTTTTTTAAAATTTTTTTTTTATTTTTAATACTGGTACAGACATGCAGGAGAGCATTTAGGATTGAGGCAGTCTGTGTGCTGTGCCTGTGCTGGCTGAGGAGCCCCTGGATGGGGCCAGCTATGAAACATGCCTCCCTCCTTCAGTTGCTGTATGTTTGCAGGAACCTCAGCACCCAGAGGCTCACAGTCTGAGGCAATTCCTGCCACCAGGCTTCAAAATAAACTAAAACTGTGGTGTTTGTATGTGGATGGAGTGGATGGAGCAATCCAGGGCTTGAAGCTCTCAGAAATGCACAAAAAAAATCTCCTTGTATGTTTGCCATTGCTTTATCAGCTGTTGATAGACTTATCCCAGCATAGGGCTATGGTCTTGTGTCGGTCCTGTGTCCTCTGCTTTGGATTCATTCGAAGCAATCAACATCTGGAAAACTGGAAACCTTCATACTGTGATCTTGAAGACTTCCCCTCAGGAGTGCTGTTTCTATGCATGTTATTCAATCAAAAAGCTTCTCTTAACCTTCTCCTGAAGTATTACATCTTGTTCCCACCTGGCTTTTAGAAGTGCTGATCATCTTGCAGACAAACACCAAGGAGAACCTTTGACTTAAACAACAATAATTAAACCATTAATCATTAGTAGAGTGACATTCTACAGTGTTTAACCCTGCCCTTTAGAAAAAGAGATTGGAGAAACCTTCATGTGTGCTGAAGTTTAGCTTGTATGATGGTTATGGTGTGTGGCTCTTATCCTTGCCTGAATGCACACATGTTCAGCTCGTTCATACAGTGCTTACATGTTTCTGAGCTAGGCCTCCTGTAGGAGTTACAGGACAACTGTGGGCAGAAGGACATGAAGCTGGATTTGGCTTTGAAGGACGCAGCCTCAAGTTATGTATCATATTCTAGAATCGTAGGATCACAGGCTTAGGAGGGACCTTAAAACCCATTCAGTTCCACCTCCCTTGATGTAGACAGGCCAGACCCCCACCAGATCAGGCTGCCCAGGGCCCCATCCAGCC